TGAGGATTGGCCCAGTTGGGGAAGTAAGAGGGAGGATTCTACACTTGTGTGCATGTTAAACAAATGTTTTAAATGATCCAATTAATCAAAAATCAAAGCAATCACTTTCAGCTAAACTTTCCTATATTTTCCCAGGTTTTTTAAATTACAGAATTATTTTTTTAAATTACAAATTTTAAAACTTAATACATTTTAGACACATTGCCAATATAACTATATCTGATATAACCTCATCAACTCAGAAAGGAAAATGAAGATTTGGGATCCCAAGCAACTAGACTGCAGCTATGAACTGGGTAGATGGTGCTCATTTTCCTGATTTCTCTCATCAGACATCTGTATAAAATTGTTGAAATCAGTTGGAAACATTCTTCTGTAAGTACAGAAATATCCTACGATCTTAAAACCAATAAAAAGAAAGGGATACACTGAGGAGTGAATGGCTTTCTACATCTCCACAAAACAATCCAGAAATAATGCAAGGAAAATTTAATTAATAAGACAGACATGAATAGGTCAAGTGTCTGTTAGCTCATCATTGCCATTCCCATGACCTTCTTTAGCATTATGTGGGCTGGAAGCCAGAAAGCTGTGTTTCCTATCATTCTTTCCTGGTTAGGTCCAAGTTTAAGTTTTACAATAACAGAGGCACACACAGGAGATACAACAGACACTAAAGAAAGAAGAGCATTCAATGCTCAGTACGGTAAGAGAGTGAAGACATGTCACCCTTGGAGAGGATGGGAGTGGAAGACTGTGGGAGCTTCCAGGATACTGCAGGTAGATCAGAATATGAATATTAGTTCTGAGTGGTAGCGAGATTTCCTGGTTTTCTGAAAGCTGGCAGTGATATTTCTGACCTTTCCTCCCACTCCCATCCCAGTTTTAGGAAAATGTAAATATATGCAATGCTGAATATGTTTCTTTTGGCAAACCTAGAATGCTTTTGTTTTTGTTACTGAGTTACACACTAGAAGTGGTTTCAGACCTTTCAAAATGACTGCCTTCAGGTGCTTGCTTGATTAAACTTAAAGAATATAGTATCCTTGAAGATAGGTAATAGTAACCCATAGTTTGCAGGGTCCCCTTCCTGGAGTCCCCACAATGACACTCATCAATGGGGGGTTTCTGATTCTACTTAAGGCCAATCTCCCAGATACTTCAGACCCATAAGTAAAATCAATTCCAGATTGAAATAGTACAAGCTGAAATCCTAACCTTATAAAATAGAATTTATGTACTACAAAAAACTCTAAGAAAACTTTAAGAAGTCTCTACAAATGCCATCTAAGAGAACTAGACTTTAAACACCAAAATGTACAGTATGTAAAGCAAATGAGGAAAATAGATTGGTAAAAAAAATCCTCATAAAATGGATTTTCTAATGCTGGTAGTATGAAATATTACTAGCAGAAACTGTAACAGATGGCAGGCTTGTTTGACAACCCTTATAGTATGGCACACTTTCGTAGCTATCCAGTGTTAATATTCAGATGGTAACTTTAAGACTCAAGAACAATAGATCTTGCACAACTAGTTTGTGGTTCTCTTTTCAAATTCAAAAAGCTGCCCCAAGTTAAAAATACCAAGTAAAAATTATATAACTAGACGACAGAGAATATGAAAAGTAGAAAGAATCTTGGAGAATTTAGTCTTGCATTTTACAACTATAAGGTCAAAGGCCAAAGCAGATTTCATGACTTTCAGAAAGCTCAGCATTAATTAAAAGTAGAAACGTGACTTGGTTTGCTCTTGCCTCCAAGTTCCCCAAATATGCCTGCTATTATTTTGTAAAATGGGTTATGTAGAACAATAAGAATGTAGAGTTTGCAAAAGTATAGTTATTTCTGTGTTTAGATATATATTATGTATGACTGGTACATGTTGTCTAAGACAACATGTATTACCCTTAGTTTCAATACCTCCAATTCAAACATTCAAACTATAGCTGCTTCTCTTGAGAGGCAGATACAAGAGGATGGATCCATGGGTTTGAAGTCAGCTCTGGCAGAGCCCTAACACAAATCAAAATAAAATCAAGAGACCTATGAGACAAGCATGAAGCACTAGATTATATGAAGGTCTAGTTCTAATCACTAGAATAATAATTTTTTTTAAAAAAGGAATGCATAGAAAAAAAACTGAAGCTAGTTTACTAGTGGTATCAGGACTAACATATAAATGTGCAGTCTGTAGGCAAAAAGTAATTCAGGTTTTTCACTATAGAATTTTTCTCTACATTTTGTAATAGGTGATTCAATGAGTTTATGATGTCTATAAACAGAGTTTTCCTTACAAAATCTCTAGGATATCTGTGTTCTGAGATATATATACATATATATATATATATATATGCAGTTTTATATATATACATATATATATATATATACAGTTTTATATATATATATATATATATATATGGTCATATAAAGTACTATGCAAGATTTTAAAAAGTGTTGAATACAAATTTAAATATTTTATAAGTGAAATGTGAATTTTATAAAATAGGCCCCAGAAGCCTATAGCATTCCTATGTTTATGTACATGCAGATTGCATATACAATATGCATATATATGTATCAATATATGTTTGTGTACATTATATAATATTTATTTATTTGTAAGTAATGTTTGCCTTATTCCCCAAGGAACATAAGGTAGGCCATGAAAATTCACAGAGTTGCAGAAAAAATACAAAAATCAACAAAACAGAAGTATAGAATAAACAAAGAAGAAATTGCCATTTTTACATCATTTCTGCATGACATAGGCAGCATAAAGTCTGAACACAAAAAAAAGAAAAATGAAAGCAAAGAGCGCAAAGGAAGAAGGTTAGGAAGAAGGAATGGAGAAAGAAAAAATATATATGGAGTAACACTCTGTAGAATTTGGAATTATCTGTGCCTGTGAATCTAACCCTGGATCTGTTTGCAAACAACAAACTTCCATTTGTCAACATAGAAATACTCACGGTTAATGTAAAAACAATTAATAGATTTTTTCTGATGGAGGTAAGGCCTGACAGACCAGATTAGCTCTATCAACAGCTTGTAAACCAAGACTCCCCAGAGCCTGACAGACAGGAAGCTTATTAATTTCAACTCTGTGACCACTCAGCACCATGACATGAACTGTCTGTTCAGGAGGTCATCTCCAAAATGTACCCCATACATCTTCATGCACAAGAGACGATAATTTATCACCTAGACATAGGGATCTACTGTAAACTCATCCAAACTGCTGATGATACACTAAATCAGTTTGAGTGATGAGGATAAATAAAGACGCAAGCAAAGGACTGAAGGGTACAGATCTATCTGATCAATGAGCTGTCACAAGGCAAATGGAATGCAATGTTGACAAACATCGAGTCCCTCAGCTGAAAATTAGCCAAATAAGGTATTACCACATAAAAGCACATATAAATCTAAGTTTCAAATGGAAGTTGGATGCCATGGAAGTATATTCTAATAGTTTCAGATAAAACTGAATAGGCAGGGTTTGTAGTAAAAGATGTGTTAAAATTAATATATTTTACAAAGTATATAGAAAGGATGATGAAATAAGAAAAATATCACGAAACAATAATTCTTTCCAAATAATGATATAACTAGGGTTATTCAATCTGCTGAGCAAATCCAAATGCAGGGATGAAGAAAAGCAATAAAAAAAAATAGGATACAGAAAATGATTTCACACCAACTCACTACCAGGAAATCAAATTCGATTTGTATTGCCCTTACCAAAGCTTTGATATTTTCTGAAGCTGTCATACTACAACGTTGATGGGGAAAAACAAAGGAGCGGGATAAAGAAGGACATTCCTCCAGATAGTTTATATTCATGCAGGGCACTCCTTGAAAAAGAAAGATTTTCCCAGTTATGTGATCAGAATAGTGCCTTTATCACTTGGCAAATAGGTTCAATGGATTCAGCAATTCTGAAGGTGTCCCTAATGGAAAGAGCTGATTAAAGTAAACTCCAGCCCCTGCTGAGAAAGGAATCTGTAAAAATATTTTCTAAGGGAAATTACTTTTCAAGAAATTTATGTATTTTCATGGTTGCATTAAGGATATACAGTTTGTCATAACATATTTAACTCTTGCTTTGTGTTTTTATCTTTCATTGTATGTTGAGTAAAGAGAGAATTATACTACTAAAATATGACCTGATCCCAGATGTAGTTTATTTAAATTTCTAAATGAAAAGCTTACTAAGAACAGATAAGATTGATTGCTCTCTCTGTCTTAGCATAATTGTATTTCAGGTGAACATCAATTTACTTTAAAGGACAGTTCTAAGTAGCAGAATGCATCATAAATAATTCATCAATCACAGCTATGAGAAACATGATTTACTCCCGCAGATTCAAGGGAATAAAAGTTCCATTTCTTCTATATTTGTATCTACTTTAAAGAGTTTAATAATGTTCCTTTTTAAGAATATACTCTTAAACTTCATATTTTAAATGCAGCCTGATAAAATATTGCCTTTTTCTTCCTACTTAAAAAAATATTTAACTGAAACAAAACAATTATCATTGGACAACAAACAAACCATGTTTATCAAGAGCAAAACAACCATGACATAAAAGGTACATATCTGGCAATTAGCCCCCAAATATGGGTGTTACTTGTAATTCTAGAAAGACCAGTAATTTGTTCTCATAGTATAGCCCATATTATATCAACATTTAGTGAAGGAAAAGTATATGATAGATTCAGAAAGTCTTTCTTGGATTATGTGTGAAAATTACTTCAATTTTTAAGGCAAGTTAAACACATTCTAAATTTTATTGAAATTATTTGAGTTTAACCTGATGATACAGTGAATCTCCTATCTACAACTTCCTTTTCTCATTTATAAGGATTGTTGCTTACCTTACAGGTCTTAAAATCTTCCATCATTTCAATAACTTGGTAATATTCAGAACTGTAACATATCCTTAAAATAGATTGACATGGAAAAGTGTAAAAGAAAATAGAAAACATTTTACTTACTTGCAAACCTCTCTGAAAAACTGAATGGCCCATAAAATTAGCCAGCATTCTTATTAAAGCAGCACCCTGTAGGAAAAAGTATTAAAAATAAAAGAATTTCAACCAAGCATGATTCTAACAATGTCCTGTGCCAATAAAAATAGTTTGCTTCCTTCTATCTAAAAATATTTAATAAGAAAAGCATGAAGTGATATCTCATTTCTAGATTGAAAATCACATTATTTTTGGTGTTTGTTTCTAAAAATTTATGAGGGTAAAATGTGCAGCCACAAAATGGAAAACTCTCAGATAAAATGTCTCATATAATAATAATCTGTAATTCAAGAGTTATTAACATTTCATTAAGTATTGTATACAAGAGTTCTGTGGTGTTGTGTTAGAAATTTAACATGCCTCTTCTCCTATTGCTCTGTTGTCCATGTGACTCAGTAAGAATGTACTCTCTGTTTTTACTTCTCATGGTAGTGGTGCTTTGCGTGGGGAAGGGGTGGCGGGGGGGGGAAATCTCTTTCCCTCCCTCCTTAAATAACCAGTTGTTCAAACAACTATTTTATTTTACTTAAAGTAAGATAAACTTACTTGGTTCCAGGTCCGAAACAAAGTTCTGTGGTTCTTGTACTACAAACTCATAATTTTGTAGGGGAAGGTTGCACATGTTAATAAATATTCATATTAGAGTACAGCTCTGAAGTGGAAAATAGAGACTACCAGACTCTCAAAGTACCCAGGTTCAAATCATGACTTTGCTTGCTAGTCACCATGATTACTTGGGAAAACTATGTCTACTCCCTTTCTTCTTTTCCTTACAATGAATAAAGGATACCAGTTATATTTACTGCAATTGTTCTTCAACTCAAATGAATTAATACATGTGAAGCAGTTTAAACTGGTTCTGAAAAATATTGCGTACTATAGAAGTGTGTGTGATAGCATATCAAACTGGATAATGATTTTTATATCTTATAATGGATATATATACATACCTCTATAAAAGTAAACATGCAATCAATACAAATAATTAGAATCTACAAAATATTAATTTAGAGGAATCTATCTATATATGAGAACCACTATTATATTATAGAATAGTGTAGGTGCAAAAAGTATTTGTGAAATTAACATGAAATATTCAAACGCTTTATTGAACACTGTATAGGACTTGATTAGGCAAGGATGCTCATTATGACCAATCCTTCATTCAGGGAGATAACATAATGACTAGAAGAAGTGAATATTTAAATTAAAAAGGTGGAAATTCCTTTATCTCTATATATCCCACTACATGCGCCTTCTAAATGCCCTCACTGAAGTAACTCATATAATATTTTTCTTTCAAATATTTAATAACATGTATTAACCATTCATGTTAATGTGGTCAATGTGGAAGTTCAATATTGAATACAAGAAAAATTGATCAAAGATTTTTTAATGCATTGTAATACTAAGACTACATGAATCAATCACCATTAATCAATATCTCAAAAATTTAAATCACTACCAAAATTGTTCCTTAAATGGATTAAGTAAGTTAACATTAAGTTAAATAAGTGTAAAAAACACATAGAACTTTATGCCTCTCCAAATATATTTTTCTAAAACCTTCTTCTCTTAACTCTTTTGCTTTCTCATCTGTATCTTCTGTACACTTGTGTGAGTCCATAAAACATAAGCATTTATGATTCAATCTGTGGGCCAGCTTAGAATTCCCTTTAGAGCCTCTCAGCCTACTCCTTGAATTACTTGACAAGCTCTCCTCTCATACATTTTTCAATCTAATCTACCCACCCTGAGGGTAGACTCTGTCAGTTCTCCTGCAAAACTAACCCTTGCCACCTGAGGAGTGAATTTAGAATCTCAAACAATCAACTCAAACTTTCCCTCAGAACAGAATAACTATCTTCTGATGATTTAAGTGTTTCCCTCTAGGTAATGATGAGTGGGTCTCTTGTCAGGCTATAAAAACTATCCATTTGGCAGGGTCTTATGACAAAAGAATACTTTCTAATCATGAAGAATGAACCCATTTTCTTCTCTGGATTAAGCTGGAGCAAAGTGCTGAAAGGAAGTAAAACCTAGAAATACAATCAACATTCAAAAGTTCATACTGTATCATTGAACTCACTACTGTATATTGTGTAATTCAATTAACTTTTAGAAAATTTGTCACTGGAATATTTTAATGTTCTCAGGAGCAGCATACACTCTTCTATGTTTAATTAGCCCTTTGTTCCAAAGCTGTTTTTTTAATTCTTATTTTATAGAATTCATAGACAGATGGGCTTGCCAACTGTGATCATTTACCCAATGCAAACTGGCACCTATTATGAGTAGTTAGACTGAAATTCACACCTCCTCACAGAGGCATAGTTCATTGTTGATGATTTTTATGAAAGAAAACACTGAATCCCAATTTATCATCATATCTTTAAAACATTTGTTCACCTTGCTAACATTGTTTATAATATTGGAACCTGTACTTGTTTCTTACTCAAACTTCCAGCCCCAAACAACAAAAAAACAGATATTTAGGCAGCTTTGAATAGATTTATAGAAAGTATTTATATTATTTCTGAAAGGATTTTTTTTGAATTTTCAGTAGTTCAAGAAAGACCATCATAGCCCAGCACTGGTGGCTCACGCCTGTAATCCTAGCTGCTCACGAAGCTGAGAACTGAGGATCACAGTTCAAAGCCAGCCCTGGCAAGAATGTGCTTGAGACTCTTATCTCCAATAAATCACTAGTAAACCAGAAGTGGTGCTGTGGCTCAAGTGGCAGAGTGGTAGCCTTGAGCTGAAGAGCTGAGTGACAACGCCCAGGCCCAGAGTTCAAACCCTATGACTGAAGGAAAAAAAAAAAAAGACCATCATGATATTTATTAAACTAAGGATCAGGGACATAGGAAGATAATTAAGCTAATAGTATCACTGAAGAATATTTAAGTGTTCATAGATACACTTTACTAACGAATATTCCTTGAAACCAGGCTTACACACTCCTTTATCTTCTAGTAGTTTATTTTTCATGTTAATTTCTATTTTTTAAATTTTTCTTTGTAACAATTTCAATGTACACTAGTTTCAGAGAAAGTGTACAAATGAAGAAATATGACAATGTCCTCTTATTTTGTATACATACACTCTTCTTGTGGGTTACAGGTTCCTTTATTACAATAAATGTATGACAGAAATAAATCACATTCTTAAATAATATTCATTCAGGTATATTATAGCTTTAACAATTGAGTTGTTAGTATGGTCAGCATCGTGTGGAATGAAAACAGAAATGACACAGTCTTCATTCTCAAGGACTTGAAGTTTCATGACTGAGAAGAGATTCAAAATAATGTTAGACCAATGATGGAAGAAGAGAGTTTATAGTGGCCCAGAAGCAAGAGGAAGTAGATCTGAAGGGATGGAGTGTTCAAAGAAGTGACATTTCTCTTAGTTCTTAAAGGATGGATAGACAATCAGAAGCATCTGTGATATGTCAGACATGGACGTTGTGTGGTGTGTCAGGGGCAAAATTGATAAGCTCTGAAAAGGAAAGATTATACAGAAGGACTCAGACATGGGTGCCACACAACGGGAGGTTAGATAGAAAATAAGAGGGAGACGGTTTTACAGAACTTTGAATTCCAAGGGCAAATGAGTTTATAGTATATTTTGAATTCCAGGGCTAATTTTATTTTTTAAATATAGTAATATTTGAAAAATATAAGGTTTGAAGAGGAGAGATGAATTGTTGAAAGATGAGGGAAATGGAACGACATGAATGTAATTCAGGGTGAGTTTATAACTGACATACATGAGGCTTGAAGTGGGTAAGAGTGTCAAGGAAAAAATTACTGAGGCTTTGGTGAAGGAAAATAAATAAAAGAGAATCATGAGTCTTTCTATAAATTCTCTATAACCTACTCTTGTGCACCCACGATAGGCATTCAAGAAATGTTCATTAAGGAAATCAATGGAAAAATGAAATTAAAGGCAAAAGAAGTGTGAGGACACACTGGTATAAAGGAAAAGGCAGAGCAGGTATCAATGGTCTCATAAAAGACATGTGGGAGGTCCCCAGATTTCAAGGAAAATGATATCCGAGAGAAGATCATGGTGCACTACGTTTAACAGAACTGTTAAAAATAGACTTGCTAGTGTAAATCCAATGTGAAAATCAGTGAAAACAGAAGGAAGGGATGGCACAGCAAAGAACAAGTTCCCATGCAGTATGATTATCTTCTTTTCTTTTCTCCTCTTCTCCTTTTCTGTTTGTTTTAATCTTTCTGAATACAAGAGAAGATTCTGTGCAAAGCAAAAGGCTATTTAGTGGGAGCTTAGAAACAGAGCAAGATTCCAGAAAAACTAAAGCGATATTTTAGATCAGTTGTAGCAAAAATAAAAAAGTCTTCTCTGAGCAAGTATAGATATAGAAAACATATTTTCTTGTTTTAAAAAGATAGTAGTTATACTTGGTGTCTGAGGAATAGTAAATGAGAAAGCAAATATCAACTCCTGAATATCCCTCAATAACAAATGGACTGCCCGAAAGAAAAGTGAGGAGAGCAAATAGAACAAAAGAGGAAAGAGTGAAAAGGAAAATAAAATTAATTGCACACAAGAAAGCAAAATTAATGCCCAATTACTCCAGCTACCCATGCTTAGAACCTCCAAGTCCTCTGATTTATTACTTCCTGAGGCCAAATGTCGATCCACTTCTTCATGGCTGCATTACTGCATAGCCTCTTAATGACACACACAGATGCATTCACTACCTCATGATCCAGCCTATGAGCTACATGAGACTAATATTAGCAATCCATTTAGAAACATAATCTTAGCTCAGTCATCTTAGATGATCAAAGTATCTACTATTAAAATATAAGTAATAATAATAATAATAACCATATTCTTCCAGTCAATAATGAAAAACCAACCTGAATTTTCTGAGAAGTCAATTACTAATTTTTTTAAAAAAGCACTCAGCATAGAGTTTTCCCATTATTCAGAAAAATTATGAACTATTTTCATCTTCATTATTACTGCTATAATCATGAGTAAGTTATTTTCATGTC